GAATAACCACCCTCAAAATTTTCCGAGTTTGCTCCCAGTGCTGACAAATCCTAGATATCTGTCATTAGAAGTGATGAATAGGATAAAGAGCTATGCCAAAAAGGACAGAAACTTGCAGATTTCTTCAAAATGTGATACTGGAGACACCAAATGCGCTTTTCTCTTGGGTTACAACTTTTCGACTGCAGTGTTTACATACATATGTGTATCTTTGAGGGCAAGCTTCACAAACCCTCATCATGGCATCGGTCTTATAATGACCGTAAAAGTGTTATTTGAGCAAGAAGGCTTATAGGAGTTGTGAAAGAGAGCCGCAATATAATGTACTGGCTTCAAAGCATCAGCGCACTTTGCTTTATTTAAATAAGGCAAGTTACTACTAGCTCATATGCTCATTCCACAAAGAACGACGGGTCCCCAACCAGGATCATTGTGGTCGTTCTGTGTATGCGACCCTCGTTCTGAGCTTTTACGAGGGAGCCATGTAATACTAGGTATGTTCTCTCACTACTATCAGCTGTCATTCAGTCCTAATGTATGATAACCTTTGCCCTAAAATTCTGCAGTTGGCGTCCCACTCGGCATTCAAAACACTTGGAGAAGTTTGCAGTATCAAACAACACCAGATGCTAGGCGATCGATTATTGTAGACTATGGAAAAATGTAGCTTTTGATTCCTCATTTCGAACTTGGAATGTATACGGTCTTGAGGTCAAGTGAGTATCATCAATATCAGACAAATTTGTGGAATTGAATTATTTGGAGGCCTGATGAATTTCGGAGATCACACGGTGTTAGATATGTCTACGTCTTCAGTGAGACAGCCGTTTTGAGGAGGGATGGAGTAGTGTTAGAGTAAACAGAACCAATCATGCAAACTAATGTCGTGTGGCCTGGTACTCCTGAAGCATTTCTAAAGGATTGGAGATAGTTGGTCCTAAGAAACGTGATTCTAGCAGTGTCCAGAATAATGTCATGCATTGCTTAGCCTCATCAAAATGAGGCTGAGGGCATGCACAAATATTACCCTCCGCATCTCTGCGAAGAGAATGTAATTCCTGTTGCTTCGTTATACTTGGTTTAGAATTGATTAGTAAACAGATTACATATACCGTTATCATGAACACTTTCTTGAACAGAGGAAAACTGGTGTAATAACCAACTAGTGTAGTAACCAGCTAAGGCTTGTTGTGGACATAACTGTTCGCAATCCGAATGGGTGATAACTTTTTCAGCTGGAAGGATAGCAACGCTTTCAGCGAATTCCTGGTACGGTCAATTAGGATCATCAAGCTCCATTGACCCAGATAACAGAAGTACAGAGCCTGCTCCAAACTGACGATGCATTACGGTCCTAACTAGTAAAACCTACAGTGGATTTTTAACGAGACATAGCAGATGATTCGACTTTTTCAGATTCTAGCTTGACGTTATTAAACAAATTGGGCCAACTTGTCTCGCTATATGTGGGTGCGTTGTACGATAGACGATAAACAAAAAAAAATGACAAAATTATTGACCGGACGTACATACCTCCTACGAGTGTCTTGGATGACAACATATGTCCCAATTTATGGTCTAGAAGGAAAGAGATGACATTAACACTAAGAATTCCGGAAAAGTTACGGGCCAGTTCCTACAAATTAGTTGTTTATTTGCAGTCTGCATAGTTACAGAATCAGAAATCACTACATAACAGAGTAAACAGCATTTGAAAGGATACAGCACCGAAGGTATCACACATATTTAAGTATTTTGAAGCCAGTTGGGTTCGGATTAGTCCTCAACGGATAAAACGGTCGGTTGTTTAGTAAATTTTGGAGCGTTTTAGAAAACATTCTTGCTTGAACTTCGAATGTGTATTCGTGTTATCTTATTTATTGGAGTTTAAAAAAATTCTAGAAGTTAGCAGTAGAGTCTTGGCGAAAATAAAGCAATAGAGCTGACTACATCTCGTGAAGATATATTAAAGTGGTTAGCCATGTTATCAAGTTGAAAGGACTTCTTTTGATAACGCTGGATGTATCTGCATCCTATGATACAAAAAAGCCTGCAATACGTCCTGCGAGGAAAATAGGTAGAATATAAGAGAGCGAAAAAAATCTGGAATTATACAGTCAAAATTCGATGAACGACACAGATGAAAATGTTGCAAAGAGCTCTGAAAGCGTTGATTGCAAGGTAATATGTGGGCGAAAAAAGATCATTTGGAGCACCGAGAGGCTTTTCAAGGTCATAGTAGGGAGCAGAACTGTGATAAGGTGCGTGGACTGGATAGCGTGAATGCGGTGGACCGGCATGGAAACGGGAAAGGGTCTGACGAACAGCAGACGGTAATGCATAGGCTGACACAATGAGAAACACACTATGATGTCAGCAAGGCTGAAAACGTCATAGTCTGCCAACTAATATTCGTAGTATATGTTGAGGCTTCTTCTCATCCTTGCTCCACTTTACGTTGTTGTAAAATTAAACGATCTGCGTGCACTCTTCAACCGAAAATTCTGTGAAACACCTCGTTGTCAGATTATTCGCACGACACATCTTTCTGGTTGTCACCTGAGTTGCTGCCGCATGCAGGTGCGCACCAGGGCCAGTTTGGTCCACACAATTCTCCGAAAATTACAGGTGGCTTGCAGCTGTGTGAACAGACAGGCATCGGACGTTCAGCAACTGAGTTAATGTTAACAGATGATGATTTCGGAACCAAATTGTGTTTAAAGACTGAAACTTAAGGGCAGAACATCAAGTTCACTTGAAACTACTAGGTGTGCATTTGACGACCCGTTTCAGAGTTGAGAGTGAAATGAAGGGTAGTATGCGAGCTGAGCAGACATTTATAAAAGCCACCAAATTACCTCTAACATCCAACGAAGATTCGTAATTCCTGTGAAGATTTTTACCTCAAATCAGAAAATTTTCCCTTAATTGCCTGTTGCGGTTTTGTATGATGAGAACAGTGTCCGACTCAAACACAGAGATGTCATTAGGATTGCAAAATTTGGAAACTGCTGGTTCCGTTTCTCTTATTGAATCTTACCGTTCCTGAAAAGCAACATTGGATTACTCAAGCTATACGGAAGTGATCTTTTTGGGATTCAAGAAATAACGTCATTTCAGTCATGTATCACAACGCGGAAAGGTGCATCACCATTCGTAAGAAATGGAATATCTGTGATCAGTTATACGCAAATACAGACGAAAAACGAGGCAAACATTTAGAAACCTGCTTGCTTTAAAAAAACTAGTTGATCATTTGAACGAATACAAAAAGGAATGAACCCGTTGACGTTCATTTCGTTGGGACAATCACAAGTCATCACTAAGTGCAGTTTAACTGAATTGGCGACGACTGGGATAAGAAACAATAGGGGTTGCATCACCAGACACCGTCATCAATGCAAATGGTATAGCCGATAAGTATGACACAGCCAGTGACGCTAATCATGTCGTTCACTTCTGGTTTCTTCACAACAGCCCTATTTTTTCTGTTCCAGTTCCAAGCTACCAGCCGCCGTAGGGATTCAAAGGACAGTATGCACACACCAGAATCAGCCAGATTTGGAGATTAAGAGGGACTTGTAGAAAGAGACCCACTAATAAAGAAGATGGGCACCACAAACCAGAGGCGGTACCGACAGACCACAGTCCAAACCGGCAATCGGGACCAATTTTCGATACAACTGATTCAGGCACTTAAATACAGGCGAGAACGCCTTCAGGTACGCTGCAGCCCTTTTTGATGGGAAGATAGCTCCTGGGATCCATGTTGTTTTGGTATTTCGTTGACAAGTTTTTCCAAATAGTGACCAGGTTGCAAAGGAAACCCTTTCCGATATCTACAGAGGATGACTAATGTCCACCTAGTGAGTTGAACATGATGAAAAAATACTTGATGTGCGACCACAGTTACGCACAGATTTCCTAATTGTCCTGCGGTAGTTGAAATCAAACGAGTTTTCTGTTATTTTAAGCCTAGCTTCACATTTTTCATGTACGGCCATCAATCAGAACCTTTGGTTCAAAGTGCGATCCCCTATGGATTCGACCGACCACCGTTGAGAACTTTCAAATAACTTCAAGTATATGACTTATATATATATTCTTCAACAACTTAGAAGTGACTGGGATTGCCGAAAGCCGTCCAATCAACAGTATCCGTTAACCGAGAGTAGGCAACCAAAGCAACCATGTTAGACTGACTAATGCAGTCCACTTCATAGTTACGTTTACCTTTCTGCTGGGACAAAACGTTGAAGATAGTTCACATGCTTGGCGAAATAAACTCATTGTCAAGTAAATTTAATTACGCGGGCGGCTTACCTTGAACCCAACAGAATTTCTCATCTGTGATGTTTCCAGTTCACGTGACAGTGAAGACTACATGCACTCGAATTTTGACCGGACACACGGATGGGAGGTTCCACACGTGTGAAAGTGCACAACTGAAGAAAACAGAAACTTGGAATCATGATCTTAGTGATTCAGAGCAAATTAAGATTCATGTCAAGCCTGAAAAAGTGAGTTGAAACCCAATGCTCAATGCTAAGGATTAACTCAAAGTCAATGGGTCAGAGCAGTGGATTCCGTGGTATTGCAAAAAGCACTCTGAAGCTAGTTAAGAGAGACCACGTTGTAATCTTGAGTAGACTTGGTAGTGATATAAATTGAAAATTCTACAAAAATAAGCACAACAAACTATCCCGTACATTGACTGAACAGTACCTCAAACTTGCATTGCTATGGCAAATTTATTGCGTACATGCGCATATGCATGTCAAGGGGACTACCAAGTACAGGAAGAATGAAACAAGGCGGATTGTTAACCGAATGAAAATTTGTAGAGTACACTTCAACTGCGTTCCATTGGTTCTTATAAATTCGTATTATTGGGGTCTCCCCATATAGAAAATGAAGGGTAAATTATTAACCAGAAAACCTTGATCCGTTGATTAGAAAAGAGGTAAAAGGTCAAGTAGAATCGAAAGGATGACGGTGGAATGTTGGTTGTAGACGACGTGATTGTGGTCGGATGGGTTTACTCATGTGAGTCACATGTGTCACTCAACGACAGTCGCAACGACACGCTTATTATCATATTATATTGTCAGATCACAAGATCATCCTCCCGGTGACTGCCTCAGACGCATAACTATGATTTTAAAGAAGTCATCCCGTATTTTTCGGACCTTGTTTCTCTCTCAGTAATATATATATATATATATATATATATATATGTTCAAACCTACTTTAACTTATTTCACGTGATTCA